TGGGATCGGAGATCAGCCGATCACTGGTCCGGAAATCACATGATCGGACAATTCCCCCTGCATTCTGATACAGTCCAGTTTATTGACTAGCTAAATTTTGTATTAATTTATTGATATCTTTTGATTTATTCAAAAGGTCCTTTATTTATATAAAATAATTTATAATTAAATTATTACAATATGAGATATATTATACATGTTAAATAAATATAATATAGCAAATAATGTTAATATATCTAAAAACTCTACTATGTCTATAATTTATATTTAGTCACATGATTAGAATTAAGAAATTAAGAAATTAGTAATAATTCCAGACTATAATACCAAAATTAAAAAACTGAATTTTTTTTTGATTATTGTCTTTTATTTTTTTTACAGGGTTATGTAATGGATAGATTACAAAATTCAAGTCATTTGAGTAATAAGATATTTATAGTTTGCTCATCAGGTGACGTTATTACAATTCAGAATTGTTCCTAATTTCTTAATTTTTTAATTTTAATCATGTGACTAAATATAGATTGTAAAGATAGCAGACATATTAATATTATCTACTATATTATATTTATCTAACATATATAATATATCTCATATTGTAATAACTTAATTTATATAAATAAAGAATCTTTTAAATAAACCAAAAGATATTAATTAATCAATACAAAATTTAGCTAATCAATAAATTACTTCTTGTTTATTATTTAATGAAATTATACATTAATTGAGTTTATAATTCTTAATCTTGTTATAACATTTACTTTATATACTACTGAACACTCAATCAAATTGTTATAAAATATCAGTACTATATTGCTATAAAACTGTCATCTCACTAAGTAAATACAAAGAAGATATTTATTAGTAGTAGTATTACCTATTTTAAATTAAATAGAATAGAAAAAATTACACAGCACCATAATCTTAAAGCAACTGGATCAAAATATTAACTTACTGAAATAGATGTTGATTGAACACATATATTACGAGATTACCTACCTGGACCTAGAACTTGTGACACTGTTAAAGTTATGATTGATAAAAATAAAAATAACAAGAATTCAGAATCAAAAAATTTAAGCATTTTATTTTAGAAAACATGTCATACTGAAATGCGTGTGATGAAAGCAAATCAGGAAAAAATTACTTGTTGATATTATTATGAAAAAGGATTTGAGAGAAAAATTGAGGATATATTAAAAAATGAGAGAAATGTTAAAGATCAATTCACACAAAATCGAATTTATAACAAAATTGTGCAATATATTTCAGGATATTTGAAAAATAATTTGTGCAAAAAACTCAAAAAACCATTAAGATATACAAGTTATTTCACAATATCAGGATAAATAAAATTAAGCGAATTAACTTCTATGATGCTAATACAATTTCAAAGCTTATAGTAACTCAAATCCAATTAATAGAACAACATTTTAGCAAAGCTGAAAACGAGGAATCTGGTCACGTGTAGGACCGCGTCACATGTAATTATCACGTGACTACTACGCCAAGAAATTTGCACGTGTATGAGCTGTGGCTTGCAACAATACGTTTCACAGTAGTAAAAAACTTGTTATGATACGAATACTAAAACTTATAAACCTAGTTCTTTGATTATAAATCTGGGCACAGTAATAGAACCTTTCTTTTTAAAATGCTTTCAGAATCGTCCTCAATTGTTTCCTCTGACAAAGAGCCTGTTCATGAGATGGCAAATATAGTTAAAAATTATGGCATCGAGGAGTTAATTGAATATTTGGGAAAAAAGAATTTGAGAATAGATGACGAAGACTTTGCAATATTTCGTAAGGAAAAAATAACAGGTCTTGCCTTCCTTGAAACCACTGAAGAAAAATTTCAAAGTTATGACTTGAAAGGAGATCCAGCAACAGTACTCACAAATGTTATCGTGAATCTCAAAAAATGTAAGTATACTTGAGATTTTGTTTGCGTCGTATTTATATAAGTCGTTACTAAAACTCTCACTCTTATAGCCAATATCCCAAAATCAAACACTGGACTTGTATCTGTTTTCGTGGACAATTTCAACTTGTTTATCGAAGGAAAGTATAGTATTGAAAAAGCAGGCAACTTTGATTACCAAAGAAATTCCTATCAACTCAACCAGCTCTACGTCGATCATGGACGCCTTCTATTAACAGTAATGAAAGGACGAAAAATAGGAAGTAATCCGGTGATTGTTGGCTCTCGTCCACCTCGGAACGATTCACTATGGGATAGGATTCAAAATCAAGATTTTGATGTGATCGTTTATGATTGTATTGCAAATAAAGAAAAGAAAGTCGATATGGAACTTGGACTTTCTATAGCGGATGTCGTTTATTCGAAGGATCCTGGTATAGTTCTTATGATTGCCAGCGATGGTGATTATACTCCTGCGATAAATCGGGTCCGAGATAATAATTGAAAGATTGAAGTGTGGTTTTGGTCACCAGGTATAAAATATTGTTTTTTTTACGTTAGTACTCTAAGTAATTGCCTCATTTATTTAGGGATATCCGGTGACCTCTTGAGAAATTGCTTTTTTTCTCTGGATAATTTTTACCGGCATTTTACATATGCATATGAATAGGATCCATCAGGAAGAAGTTATACCCTTGAAATAACTGATGGTGAAACACTCGCAAAATGGCAAGATGATGAAATAATGGAATGTTTTGATTCATTAGAATTATTTGAATGGTGGTTCAGGAAAGAAGGACTGACTATATACTTGTACTTCGATAACAAAACACATTTGAAAAAGGCAAAAAATTGGTTGGAATCTAAGCATCCGGATGTGAAGGTTTAAGAAATGCCAGAGAAAAGAAAAAGTTGGTATTAATGATGATGCTTTGCGAAAGAGGGGGGAAAGAGCTGAAAAGGTATATAAGCTTTTTATGGGTGTTGGAGGTATCCCGGCAAGGTCTATTTTTAATCTATCTCTAGATAATATTGATCAAGTGATTGTTGGGATTTTAAATGTAAAATGATTGTTTCGTGAATATACTGTATACATGTTTTTACACCAATAAAAACGTGTTTACTGCGCCTGGTCACACGTGTCCAATTTTTCTGAAATTAATAAAATTTGTCTGAGGTTATAGACGTTTCCATAGTATAAATAAACTAGTCTGATGTGTCTGATGTACAATTTAATAAATTCGTTACATTGATATGTAAATAAACTCATTTATGTAATAAATTAATAAAGTTATCAAGTATCATTTATTTTTTATATCGAATTTGTAATGTTATGCATGTGATCATGGAAAAATATAGCAGTGTTATAAAGTTGATAATCTATGCCTTCGTTGTTATCTCATTTGGAGAGAAAATTTGTATGAATTGAGCGTGGATTTCTTCCCATTCTTTCATTAGTTCATCAAGTCATGCAGTACTTAAACCACTCTTTAGTATATCGCAACGTAATAACTCTCTAAAAATATATTAAAATATAAATTATAATCTTTATTTAATTTAAAAATAAAAAATATTTATTAATAAAATTAAAAACTTTATATAAAACAAAAGTTTCAATTTTTTACTATATTTTATCAATAAAATTATATATGTAATTCTATAATTTTGTTAGTTATTATATATATAATTTATTATAACAACAATTTTTTTTTAATAAATTTTAAAATATTTAAATAAAAACCAAATTTTTAAAATAATACATAATATTTTATTTATTTCTTAATAAAAATGTTTATAAAAGTATTTGTAAAAACCATATTTTAATTGGCTAATTAGAACCTGATTAGGGTTAGAATCAAGTTTCTGAATATGTGATTGGTTAATATTGAAGTTGTTATATATAATAATTGTTACAACTAGATTGATTCATACAATATAATCTATTAATAAGTATTTTTGAATATTTAACGTTAATATATAATTATTCAGTTTTGAAAATAGAAATAAAAAATCTGGTTAACAAATATTTTTAGATTTGGTAATTGTGCTAACTAATCCAAAACATTGATACATGTATTAATATTAATATTCTGCTATTAGTGTTTACACACATGCATTGGGAATATCAAATTTCCAATTGTTCTTGTTCAATTATAGCACGTCGCTACGTAATTCCGATATGAATATTTCAAAAATTTTTAATTCATGGTATAACGGAAATCCCGATTATTGAATCTTATGAGTCTTAATGACTCTTTTGATGATGTTGCTTTATCTAGGTGTGATGACATAACAAGAATCAACAAGAACAAAGAAAAAGTTCACAACATAATTCCACCGCATGGTTCATTCGAAATACGTACATTGTATCGGTATCGTATGTATTGTATGTAATGCAATGCTATGTAATTCTGAATGCAGAATTTTTGGTTTGTAGAGATTTTTGTGGTAAGGTGGCAATTAAATATTTATTGAGGTTGTGTCTAGCGCTAGTGTTTTTTGATTGATTCAATTTATACGCCAACAATAACAAAGAAACATCGAGTGATAGATGATTAATAAATGATCACATTAAGAGATCAGACGAACGAATCAATTTGTTGCATTGTACATCAATCGAACAACGAACTAAGAATTTGTTCGTATCATGTTTTGTATCTTGTGAACCTGACCAAGCATACAAAAATCTTATTTAATTATTATAACTCGAAGATGTAGAAATGATTTCGCGATGAAATGTACTTCGTTAGACTTGTATTATTAAAGACTGGTCTTGTTAATTCATAGGATTACTAGCATTATTGCATTAGTTATGATTTTTCAGTTATGCTATTAATTATTTCTCGAAATATAACTTTTGTTTGCACTTTAGCTCAAATGATAAACAGCCAAGATGATGTAATGTAATGTAATGTAATTTTTGTTTTTATGATATCAAGTCGTAGTCATGAATATAGTCTTGGAAATTCAAAGAAAAGTTATTTTATTAAAATTCGTATGATTTTTGTTCTATCAAGTTTTTAAGATTTTATTGTGGTTTGTCGAGTTACACTAAATTTCAAAAAAGGGTAAAGTGATGATGTAATCAATCTATTTTAGGTGTATCCAAGCAGGGGCGACAGGCCCATTTTGTTGTTTACTTGGAAGAAACTCTTAGTTTCGTCTTTAAGCTTTTCCCAGTCATCAATCCAATCTTTTCTTGTTATTTATAACCATTTTTAAAGAAATTATTACTTTAGCAAACAAGGGTATTGAGACATCTTGCATTTTACAGATCTACCACATAGTTTGTCGACGACTTTTTCTCGAGACGCGTTATCTGAAGATTTGATTATATGGTGTTTTCCGCTTTTCTCGATCATCAATTCTGCTTTTGAATAAATCAATTGTGAAGCAAAACCAGCGACATGTCTGCAAGTTTGTTTTTGGAGACTTTAAGAAGAGCCGATCTCGAAACGTACTACCCAAAGTATGTTTTTTATTGGTCAACTTATAGATTTCCACTGCGTGGAGTTTGCCGCTAGAAATAAGACGCGTTAATTTTTCCACGAAACCTTGGTTCAAACTGTTAGTTTTTCCACGGCCGGCATCAACGATTTGAGGGGTCTGGCGTCGGTATGCTTAAAGAACTTTTTTCGAATCAATTGAGATTTTCGAAAATCCAATAAAAGATTCATTAGTTACAGTTCAATTTTTCTTTCAATTAAGCTCTCTTTTCAGGATTATGCGATCCTCGGCGTAACAGCTATTGAAGATCGAAAACGCCTTTTTCAATTAATTCAGACGATCAAAAGTGAATATCCGCAGTTGAATGAACCTCCTAATGTGTATGGATCGAAACCTGATTTTACGTTTCCTCCACGAAATCAGGCAAATCCAACGTCGCTGAACCATCAAGAGCAAATTATCCAGGATCCATCCTTAAAACGAATTTTGCAAGGACAAGGTCGAGGTCGTTCCACCATACCCGCCTTGACATCTAACCGCTCTCGAATACCATCTCCACACATAAGTAATCCCAGACAACTAGTTCAGAGACCTGCTGTAATGCAACAACAGCAAAATGATGCCTTTGAAGATGGGGAGGAAGAAGAAATACATGTGAATGCTTCTCCCGGTAGAAAGCTTAATGCTTACGGAGTACCATCCAGGCATCAATCAAGAAATAGTTCATACTCTGGTCCAAAGAGCAATGCGCCGAGTAACTTGGATGATAAGATTAGAGTTTGTGTACGTAAACGTCCTCTAAGTCAGAAAGAACTCGCAGGTAGTCAAAAAGATATCGCGACTGTAGTTGGATCTAGAACAATTCATATCAATGAACCAAAGTAAGCATACAAAAAGACTGTTTGTCTACATTAATTAGCATATAACATATTAAGAATAATTTGAATGTCTATAGGCAAAAGGTGGACTTAACTAAATATGTGGAGCAACACTCGTTTGTATTTGATGATGTGTTCGATTCGGATGCTAATAATGAAAAAGTATTGTCTCGTTATTTCCCGATTTAATAGAATTCAAGAATTAGATGGTTAAAAATGGTTTATCTAATAGGTATATCAAAGAACAGCATTACCATTGGTTGAATACATTTTCCGTGGAGGAAAAGCCACATGTTTTGCATAGTATCCTTTTCATATCACTATCAACTTCTCTCGCAATAATCATCTATTCTTTTTGAAAGATATGATTCCTTCACTCGAAATTTTTTTGCATCATTTTCTTTGAAATAGTGGCCAAACAGGTAATTATTTAATTGTATTGTTGAGTTTAGTAAACTTTTTCATTGAGATGTTCGAATTTATCTATTAGGAAGTGGAAAGACATACACAATGCTTGATGGAGCTCATGGTATGTGTGTCTCACATTGCGAATCTTGTTCATGATCTATCTTGTATTACTTGTTATTTATTAAAATTTTCTGAATTATAGGTCTCTACGCTTTAGCTGCTCGTGATATATTCGCGTTATTGCAGCAACCAGATTTGAGTCATCTTGCTGCTTACATAGGCTTTTATGAAATCTACCAAGGCCATTTATACGATCTTCTTAACAAAAGAAAAAAGCTGTTTGCAAGAGAAGACGGGAAAAAAAATGTAGTGATTGCAGGATTACAGGAATATGCAATTGATAACGTGGAAAATCTGATGCAAGTTTTTGATTATGGCAACACGATACGAAGCACTGGTAAAATATATAACAAAATTTTGTCATCGAATGTTTTTTGGTTTCTTGCACACAATTTCACATGCTATCTAATATTTGAACAGGTAGTACGGGTGCAAATGAAGATTCTTCGCGTTCACATGCTATATTACAAGTGGTCTTGAAACATAAGAAAAACAAAAAGAAGTTTCATGGTGAGTTTTTATGCTCTATTAGAATGACTTTTTATGCGTTAAAATTCATTATCAAATTTCTAAATCTTTGAATGTAGGGAAGCTAAATTTCATAGATTTGGCTGGTAGTGAACGTGGAGCGGATAGAGGCGATTCAGATCAAAAAACAAGGTATATTAGCATTTAATAATGCACTAAATGGTTATTATTTTCGTTATTGCTCTAACATTAATACAATTTTGTTTGTAAACTTTTAGGATGGAAGGAGCGGAAATCAATAAGAGCTTGTTAGCTTTGAAAGAATGTATTCGAGCTTTAGATCAAGACAAAAGACATGCTCCATTTCGCCAAAGCAAATTAACTCAGGTCTGCAAATAAATAAATAAATACAATGATCCTTTGAATTGATAACATATTGATAATCTTATTTTTTTTATAGGTGTTGAAAGATTCTTTTGTTGGTAAGTCAAGAACCTGCATGATTGCAACCATTTCTCCAAATCAATCAAATAGTGAGCATACTCTTAACACGTTGAGATATGCTGACAGGTAATTACTAATCTTTGAATATTTGTAATCTTATTTAAAAGATTACTGTGATTTAAACTTTTACCTTTTATCATAAAAAATCAGAGTTAAGGAACTCAAGTCTGAACGGGATCGTGCTGAAGGAGTTGCCGCTGGTCTCGAATCATCACACGATCCGTCTGGATTAAATGAAGAACTTCGAATAGATTACAATAGTGAAGATTTACCAGGGTATGAAGGATACGATGAAGAGGAGGAAGAATATGGAAATTACGATGAAGGCGATGATGAAGATTCAGAATATGAAATTCCAAGTGAAGATGAAATTAATGGCTTAGACGATTTAGGAGATATAGTGGACGAGGAACTTCCACTTGATATCGAGTTTGAAAATGAACCAGATGGTTTGGAATCTTATATCAGAAAATTAGGGATTCATGATCTAGAAAATAATTCTCATAGTAGAACAGCGTCAACTTTTTCAACAGTTGAAGTCAAACCAACAGAATCGACTCAATCTCGTGAAAAGAAATCATCTCTGAGATTTACTACAAAGGAAATCGATGATTTCGTGAAAAAACATCGTCATTCACTTCGCGACCTAAGTGACTTTGCCAAAAAAGAAACAAAACTTTTAGCTGACTTTGCTCTTGTCTTCAATGCCAATAATGACATGGGTGGTGCCCCCGAAGATTCTGAAAAAGCATTTGAGGAATATTTTGAGAAATTGCATGGCTTTTTAGGACAGAAATTCGAAGTTATTCAAGAGTTACTTCATACTATCGATCAACTTTCCCAACGATGATATTTCCTTTATCATCCACCAAATTAACTTCATCTATCTCATTAATTAATTAGTTAATATACTTTACCCTTTTTTTTGTTATCCTGGTTTTTTGATCGACCAACAGTAAAATTTATTTTGAACAATTTAGACAATTAATTATCTATTCAGCCAATACCTTATTCTTAATTTAATATAATATATGGAAGTGAACCATCTTCCATCCCTTTAATCTTTACACTTTATGAATCACATACATTGTTACTTCGGAATTAAAGCGGATATTAAGGCTGAATCTGTGATTATATTAATTTGTACACTTAATTCCTTTTTGTATTCAAAATTTTATCTTCGATCTCTGTTGGGCGACATATATATTCATCCTTAGACCCTTTTAAGCATGGGATAACCAGAGAATCGAGCTTTGTCACCCGTTAATTATATTGATTAAAGTAAACTGAACCATCTCAAAGCTCGATCGATATCACTAAAAGGGATCTCATCATCGTGGATTCTCTACTGTCCGATGGAATTAATAAACAAAGTAATTACATCTCGAAAGATGGATATTTTTATTTATACCGCAAATGAATACTTTCTTATTCTCCAATTTTTATTTTTTATATTTTTAAATCTTGTTGGAATAATTGATATTTGGGGAAATATTGGTTGATAATAAATCGTAGAATGGGTCTAGAGTTGCTGTGGTGTGAGATGCCAAATAATAGCATTTTCTGCTGATTAGGTTTATATTTGTTTTGGTTTCTAACGCTAATTGTTAATGATGCGAAGGATCAACCGCTCTATGGGTAATGGATAGATGGGTATTTTTAGTTTATAATTATATTTCCTATCTTCTTAAATTTCTAGAATTCTTTTCTTATCATTTAATGTACGATAGAAATAAAAGAATTTTTAGACTCGTAATTTTTATTGGACAATCACATTAAATTTTTATTGGTCGATCACATAAAGTCACATTGATATATTCTTATTGGACAATTTTTATAAATATATTTTATTGGATATTGGTGCTAATATATATTACAGTGTATTATTACAAGTTTGTTTACTAATTGATAAATTAGCTTATAAAGTTTGAAGAAAAGATTAAACAAATAAACTAAATATTAATAGAAAAGATAATATTTACATAAGTTCTATGCCAATTTCTATTAAAATTGTAATAATTCAAAAAAATATAAAAAAGTTATAAAAAAGAAAAAATCAAAAAAGAAAAGAGAAATAATAAAAATAATGAAAGATGTAATAATGAGAGTTCTAAATTGCTAATTCTCTGTACTAGCATAAAGCATTTCAAAGCTAAAAAAATATAATTAGTAATAACAAAATAATAACTTTTTTTACAAGAAATATTAAATAACAAAATAAAATAATAAAAATCAAATAATTAATCAAAACAAAAATGTTTATTTCAATATAATTCAAAGTTATTTGTATATAAATTTTAAAATATATAATTAAAAATAGAAAAAATATTTAATAATAATAAATTTTTGTTTTATTATAATATTATTATCATGTGATATTTTAGCACTTAATATGAGATGTATTACATTATTTAAAGTATATTTCTATTGAATAACTAGTGTATATATAATTTATAAATCATGTTCTTTTTTAGTTTATATTATATATTTTATATTTCATATTATTTCATTTTATTTTAATTATATTTCATATTATTTTATTTTATTTCAAATATATTTCATACTATTTTATTCTATTTTAATTATATTTTATAATATTTGTATTTAATTTATATTATTCTCATATTATTATTAGTAGTATAAAAATGTTAATTGATCTTTAAAGACCAAATTAGCTTAATAGTAATTTATAATAATTAGTTAAATATATAAAATATTAAGATAAGTATCACAAGATAATTTATAGAATAAATTAAATCTTATTTTAAATAGAATAGATTAGTTTTAGATTAAAAATAATAAATAATTATTATAAATATAACATGTAACTTAACTAAGAAAGATAAATAGTCTTAAATAGTTTTTGATTAACTAAGTGTTAATAAATTTTTTTTTGTTTTTATCTCTTAATAAATATAATAACTGATTTACTATATATTCATCAAAAGAATTAATTACTTTATATTTTCTCTTCTTAATTAATAATAAAGATTCTTAATGAATTTAAAATACTTCTTGATAAAATAATAATTAAATAATAAAGAACTTAGTGTTTTATTCTTTATAAATTTTTTAATAATACTTTAAGTTCTTGATAAATTTATTCTGTTTTTGAATTCATGTTTTTAATAAACTTATTAGATTTTTTGTGAATTTTTAGTACTTTAATTAATATATAATATTATTAGAAGATTATTTTATATTTTGCTTACTTCTTCATAATTTTTTATATAATCATAGTCATTATTTACTATATATTGTTATCATTTTAATGAGACTTTAAAATACTCAAGAATATTTATAATATTCAAAGAGAAAACTCAAATATCTTAATAACAATTCACAGTTTTAATAATACTCTATGACTTTAGATTGAATATAAATTTAAGTATAATAAGTACTTATAAAAATCACTTAAAGATTGATAACAGTTGTGTTCTTTTAATATAATAATTGGACTACTAAAGAGAGTTCTCAAAATCTCAATGTTAAATATAATATATGTATTAAAAATATCTTTAAATCTTTAAAGATCAAATATAAAATATGATATTTGTATTATTAACAATATGAAACTGAAGATAAGTATATGAATAATATATTATTAGCATTACAAAGTCAAAGTTAAGTTTATGAGCAATATATTATTAGCAATACAATCTCAAAGATAGATTTATGAATTATAATAATAATTTCTTTATT